ACGTTTAGAACATATTTCATCAATAAAGTATCCAAAAAAATAAAATGGATCTGAATGACCAAAACGTCTTAAAAGTGCATTTTATTTTTTTATTTAACAATTAAAAACAGTTATCCTTATTTTTATGTTATTAAGAATGGCATGAAATACGTTTTGAACTTAACATTTTTAGGTTTACATACATTTTTAATACAGCGATTTTAACTTTATTTTGGCACATTCCTTTATAGTTTAAAAACTATAAATTAATGTGCCAAAATAACACGTTATATACAGTGGCGGGTCCATGGGTAAATTTTACCCCTCTTATTGAAAAAAAAACATAAAAACAAAAAAAATAACTGTCTTCAACACAAAAAATTATCTAAAGATTTTAGGTAAAATTTAATCCCCCAAGAATTGTTTTTAGATTCGCCCCTGTTATCTAGTACTCAAAGCTTTGAAAAAATTTTCTGTTTACGTCCCTGCAACTAGAGAGAAATTCCCTAATCGGTCATGATTTGGAATTGCACCCAGAGAACCAAGGTTTGGGAAAGAAGTTAGTTAATTTTGTTTCAACTAAGTTTGGCGTGTGATATTTTACGATATATGATGAGTTGTAATTTTAGTCACGTTTGACATATTTTATGGCATTTATTTTCCAACGCGATAGCTTAAAAACTGAAAGAAAATAAAGACTTAAATAGATGAAGTTATTTTTGGCCAACTTCGTTTGTAATGAAGATTGGTCTAAAATTAGGAAAATGTTTGTTATGCAGATTGGTAGAAACTTTGCAACTAATTGTTCAGTTATGCGCATTAGCAATTATGTTAATTTAGGTTAAACAGCTGATGATGGCTGCTGTAATCCCTGGCTTAAATAAAATTCTAAACTTTCTGTGTAAGTATATTTGAACAATTGGGATTTGTTATATGTGCAAAAAGACTTCAAAAACGTGCTTGTGTGCAAATTATATAAAAAAAATATCGTGCAATTTGTAATCCTTTGTTAAATATTAAACCACTTTAAATTGTGTGTACTAAATATAACAGTTTCCAACAATTCAGTTAAATGCAACAGTTAATTATAATTATAATTATTAGATGTCAATATAAACGAAAATATTGTCTTTAAAGCTTCAAAGTTTTTTTATGGTAATATTTTTATATATAATTAAAATTGGAAAATACTTTATTTGCAAATAAAATGCCTGATATTTGCCCAAATAAATGCACAAAATATTTCAACATGCCCGTACATTCCCAAAATTATACCAACGCTAACCTACCTAGCCTAACCAAAACTGTTTTGAATTTTATTGGGCACGATTTTATCGTCTATTGTTGGCCCTCGCGATTGCACAAGAAACGTAGAAGAAGTCATATCTTATACATTAATTGGCAAAACTTTTCCAAAGGCGAAGTTTTGACCTGATATGGCTGTCTGGGCAAGTTTGTTTTATATGGCTTTTATAACTATAGTTAATTTAAATGGTAAAGAATAGATTTTGATAACGACAAAACAAATGATTGGATTTTTGTGTATGTTTATATATTTATACATCTAATTTATATATTTTTACAACCGACGATTCCTATATTAATGTAATTAATCAAAGGGAAATAAAGATTATTATTATTATTATTATTATTATTATATAGAATAAACTATTTAGTACTCCGTTAAATTTAACGTATGAAATTAAGGATCTATAATTCATTCCATTTAAGAAAAAAGCGTTGGGTTGAATATATTTATTATAGACCAATCACGACGCTTAAAATTGTGGCTTCTTTTACACAGGCGAAAATTATAACCCATCTCTTTTTAATACGTTGGATGTTGATATAACGTAGTTCTCATACACTGAATATTTTCTTATACAGCGTTGCCATGGCTTCTCAAAACAAATTTACAAACTGACATAATAATATTATACAATAAACCAGCAAGAGTTCTTTTAATATTAAAATTATAAAATTATATTATATTAGCTTTTGTCGTCAATTTGTCAAAAATATTTTAAATATAGAAAGAATTTACCTTTTCAAAAGGTTGGATTTATTGCACATTGGCAACGTAGCATCAGCTGTTATAATAAAAAGTGTATATTTTGTTAATTTATTACATGTTCTGTGATTTTTTGGCTTTATTTAACGTATTAACCGTTGTAAATAAATTTTTAATGAAAAACAGGTAAGTTAATTACATTAAAATCGCTTAGCATAACCAAAGAAAAATATTTTTATATTTTTTAGAGACAATATTGATAATATGGACAATATAAACGTGGACAATGTGGAAAACCAACCAGAAGCACCTAAGAAAAGTTGTTCATAATTTTTTTATAAATAATAAAATACCAAATTTAAGTAAAATTTATTGAGTAAGTAATTATAAATAAATAATAAATAAAATAGAGGGTAGGTATACCAGGTGCTGTCAAATAATAAAAATGGGTTTAGCTTTAAATAAATAAGTTTTTATTATTAAAACATACAACGTGTGTTTAAACTAACTGTTTTTCATTTTTTTTAGGCTGAAAAGAATGATAACTTACCACCAATTTCTTGCACAAATTTATGGAGAATTTAAAAAAAACTTGACTTCAAGTATGAAAAGAGGTGTAGGAATCATTTACTGGTTGAAAAAAGTAAAATAGTAATTTGGAGAAAAAAAATTATTGATATCAGGAGTTACCGATTACAGGATCAAAAAATATAAATTACATGGATGAGATTTGGATCACAACAAAGCCCAAGGTGTGTAAATGTATTTGAGTAAAAGTCAACAGGGAATTATCATGAGGATATGAATGGAACTGTTTTTGAGACTTGGATAAAAAATGTTTTACCAAAAAAAAAAAGAACATTGTTATTGTGATGGATAATGCCCCCTATCATTCTGTTAAAATTGAAAAAAATCCATCAGCAGCATGGAAATTGGGAGGCCATTTTGACGTGATTTGTCTCTGTAATTTTGTTTTTTTTTTAATAAAACCTTCATTAATTGCATTTGTATTTTATTTAAGCCTTACTTTAAAAAAACTAGATTTAATTTTTAAATAACTTTTTTCAGTGGGGTAAGTAGGGTCTTCATATCTAAGTTGTTCAGAATGAATGTAAAAAAAATTCAAATTTTTACAATAGCTATTTTATTTTCTTGATATCGGTTAATTTCTTAAACCCAAATTTCATTGTATGTTAAAATATAAATCGATGAATAAAATAGATAAATTAATTTTATTCGATCAATTTCATTAAATATTCCTTAGCAAATAATGTTAGAGTATACTATATGCTATAGCAATCGCTTATAACGAACCGTAATAAACCATGAACGATGGTTCGCTGTTTGTTATTTTAGAAAAAATAAACAAATTTCATATAGGTACATAGGTATAGGACATATGTATACTTTATATTAAAAAATGCACTTTTCAAATCCATGGATGTATGCTTACACTCAAAGAAAAAATTAATTTTTTCCGTTCATTTACCTAAATGGTTACATTTTTAATAAAACTCGGTCTACTTTTTAATAACTAAATTTTTATACTATAAAATCATAAAAATTTATTAAAACATTAAAATAAGTCTGTACTATTTTCCACATCAAAAAAATGAACTGACATTTAAATAAGGAATGCAGTTAAATAATTGACGTTATGTTGCTCAAATTATTGTTTATTTTTTCTTATTTTCTGTAAATAATATAATACATGTTTAAAGGTCTTAATTATTATAGAAAATTATTTTTTCATGGTATGGTACATTCACGGTTGCTATGATTTGTGCATATATGGAATATATTTGTTGTAACATATTAATATTCTATCAAAGACAACCGCCATTATATTTAAATTTGCCGCGTACTCCTGTGTAAACCTGTCTCGTTTTGCAGCGACATCTACTTTATTCTTAAATGGAATGGACTATAGGTATTTGGTGGGAACCAGTTAACCTTTGCAACTACAACTACAATTAAAAAGTTATATGATAAAAAATGTAAAGATAATATTTTTATTCTTAAAGTATTTAATGCTCAAATTAATTGTTCAGAAATACTTAAGAATAATAATTTTAAAATACCACAACGTACAATGTAACATATTTTATCTACTCCAACATTGACAAGCTGTGAGTTTATGGCGTTTTAGTCACGGGCTGAAGTTAGTAACAGTGGCTTTTGGGCATTTTAGTCACGGGCTGAAGTTATCTTTATTATAAATTGCGAAAAAGTGAGGTTAAATTCTTCAAATGTCCAATTTTTATGAATTAAAATTAGCATAAAATTGTTATTTTTGTCCGTCGAAGATAAAGTATAGTATGCAACTCGTTTTATAAACTTCTCTAGACACTCGTTTTTATTAAACACTCGCTCGCAAGCTTCGCTCGTGCTTAATAAAACTCGTCAATAAAATGGCGTTTATAAAACTTAATACATAATATACCTACTATTATATTAATTTTCATCCAAATAGATTCTCGCATAACATGCTTCTTTCTAAATGTTGCCGTCTTGCAAATGGATCAAATTTTGATTATTTAACGCTTGCCCCAGTTGGTTTAGCTCCATAGGTGCCCTTACCTAGGGGTACTTACCCCCCTGGAAATCTCCAACCCAACTAATTTTAACAGCGAAATATTTTGGTAATATTACGATGTTATTAAAAAATTAACATAAATATAATTCTAAATATTCATTGTCGCTGGAACCCGTGACAAACAAATTGCAAGCTATCGTAATTGATTTACTTTCGGTAAAAAATCAAGCTGATCTTTTAATAGATATGTTCGAAAAAGACAGACTAGATGCAGATTCTGTATTTTCCACAATGTTTAAAAAATGTCAGGAAATAGCAAACGTTCTTAATGTCGAAATAAAGGTTCCTCGAATAGTAGGTCGTCAAATCCATCGAAGCAATATTCAAAGTCAATCTGCAGAGGAATATTTTAAAGTATCATTATTTATACCCTATTTGGATTCAATAATAAGTTCTCTTAAATGTAGATTTGAAATGGATACAACTTTGGCTTTTTCATTATCATGGTTTCATCCAAGAATTATAAAAGAAGGTAAAATTCTTACTGATGATCAATTGCAATATATATATCGGAAAAATTTGGGGTCGAAAATTTAAAAGCTGAATACAGAACCTGGCAAAAACTTTGAGAAAATAGAAAGTATACAGAAGATATAGTTAAACTTAAATGAAGAATGCGATTTTTTCCCAACATTAAAATGTGTTTCCAATATTTTTTGGTTTTACCACCTAAGACCTGTTCAATTGAGAGGTCTTTTAGCACACTTACAAGGGTTAAAATCTGGCTTAGGTCAACAATAGGAGAAAGTCGTCTTTCTGGGCTTTATCTAATAATTTTGCATCAGGATTACGTAAATCAAAATCAAAATACTATAATTAAAAAGGTGATTGATAGATATGTTTGCCGCAAATAAAAGAAACTTAAAATTTCTGTTTGATGAGTAGATGTTTTAGTTTTGTTTTTGTTGATTTCTTAATAAATATTATATGGTAGTAAAAGCTATTTTATTAAGTAAGTTTATGTGCAAAAAAAAGTGTTTTTCCAAAATGTAGTTCGGTACCTATTTGTTCCTTTACCCTTCGATTTAATTATAATAATTAAGGTTTATATGTGTAAATTATATTTATTTTATATATTCTATAAGAAATAATAAATTAATATATTTTGGAACCTAGGTATTTTTTTGCTACTCATTAAATTATTTGTTTGCCCCCCGCTGGAAAATTTTGTATGGGCGCCCATGTTTAGCTCTCAGCCAAATTTTTAGTGGATTTTATTTATTCAACTTTATTTCTTGTGTAATAAATCATAATAATAATTTGTTGTATATGTTACAGTCAATCTAGTAAATGTATAAATACATATTTAATGTAAACATCTACTTACTAGTAGATGTTAACATTAAAGCCACAAAGTTGGCAGAATTGTACAAAAACTAAAACTAACCAACACAACCCACAAAACTAAGCAACAGTAAAAAGAACGCTTTTACTATTTTTCCATTTAAATATACACTAGCTAGTTTTTGTATACATCTACTGAAATGTATACTTTATTAAATCTGTAACTGGCTTGTCGTTAATAAAATTGTATTATTATTATTATTATATTTTTTAACTTAATGTATAATAAATATTCTTTGTTAAAATCATTACCAGGGCCGAGCCTAGGGTATCTGTCGCCCGGGTGCAAGAATTAAATTTGCCGCCCCCATTAATGTAAAAAATTAGGTTGTCGGTAGGAAAAGGAGTTCATAATTTATCATTCTCAATAAACATATAACAAATTTTATAGTAAAATAACAAAGTATTTATTAACAAATACATAAAAGAATAAAATAAAAATACATTCAGGAAAAAAAACAAAAATAATTAAACTAAACTAAAAAACTAAAATCTACTTTTCTCGCTTTTTTAATAGCAAATTCCCTAATCAAGTCGCCTACATCCAAGTTGTTAGAAATATCTTTTTCAATACTTATAATTGCTAAATTGGAAAGCCTGAATTGACTCATATTGGATCTTAAATAGGTCTTAATTAGTTTTCTTTTCGAAAATGACCGCTCTCCATGGACAACAGTAACTGGCATCGTCAAAAATATTCTTAAAGCTACAAATAAATTCGGAAAGATGCCTTTTAAATCATTAAATAGTTTTTAACTTAAACGCATTAAAAAGAAAAGAAACTACTATGTTTGCCTCACGTTAATAGAAAAACTAAAATTTGCTGAAATACGCAGCCGTCAAATCGGAAGAAATTATGCTTTAACTTAACAGTTCAGCTTGTAAACAATATCACGTGGTACACAGCGCGCGATTTGATTGGTTTCCCGTAAGCCCGCTTCCGTAAAACATGAAACTTGACGAACTCGAAGCGGACGGACGGAAAGCGAAGGGGGCGGGCGGCAATCTATAAACCGGGCTTTAAGAAAATTGTCATCATCATTTTTTGTGGCTATCGCGCGTTCGGTTATGTCTTTTTTATCATTGCCGCCTGACAGCACAATTTTGGCATTGTTTTTATGTGTAAAATAAAAACGATGATTCCTTGAAACGCCGACATCAATAAAACGCAAGTGATTTTTAGAAAGTTTTTGGTGGCTTTTTTATTCTTGATAATGATACAATTTTTTTGATGATATTTTGCCGCCCTGTGTTAGTGCCGCCCGGGTGCCATGCACCCCTTGCACCGGCACGGCTCGGCCCTGATCATTACATTCTAAGTAGTGTACAGACAAAAATAAACACTTAAACACTTAAATAATATTATAAATAATTATTATAATATTATAATATACAAGATGTCTCCTTCTATGTGTATACTTGTATGGATATTTTTTTATTTAAAGAACTATTTTTGCATTTATTTTTAATAAAGTAAACATTACAATTTTTAAATAATTAATCCTGTAAAAACATTGTGCACAGTTCTGCTCATGAAAACAGTGATTTCTCTTATGGTGGCTATGAGTAAAAAAATCTCAAATCCCAAAAAGGCTTACTGCAGACAGCTTTTGGACTTTTACAATTTGCACACAAAAAATCATATCTAGAAAAAAACTTATTTTAACCTATTGACACCAATAATATTATATAATATTGTATATTGTTGATTTATTTTTGCAATGAAAAATTAAAAAAATGTGACAATTAAAAAAAAATATTTTGAAAAATAATCTAACAAAAAAAATGCAAAAAAAAATTCCATGTGTTTTGTTAATTAAACAATTGTTTGAAAATTAAAAAAACACTAATATTCATGCACTTTTGCAGAAATTTGCACAAAATCCGCCCTGGTATGGTTGAATAAAAAATAATGTTCTTAAAATCCCCGACTTCAAGAGCAAAAAAAAAATACATGTCTTTTAAAATACTCCAAAGGAGAATTCCTGAAAGCATAATCGCAAAACAAATTTTCGACGAAAATGGCCTTGGTGATTTGAGATCCATTGACTCAAATTTTTTTATAATTCTGGAATTTTAAAAAAAGTGTCAATAATTATTATACCTATTTGAAGTAACAAAAAATGTTTAATATAAAACTTTTTTAAATAAGCTTAACATATTTAAGAAACAATTTTTTTATTTATTTTTAAATTTGTAAAAGAATTTAAATACCAAACTTTAAATTAAATTTAATTAAATATTTACTTAAGTTTAAAGATGTGAGAAAAAACTCGATCTCAAGAAAAGAACTTAAATTCTGCACATAAAGCGTATAGCAAAGTAAGTGGGAACATTATCAATAATGTTCCCACTTACTTTGCTATACGCTTTATGTGCAGAATTTAAGTTCTTTTATAGATACAAAACACACTTTATTAAAATTAAAACAATATTATTATTGTTTAACAATTTCAATAAGTTAAAGACTTTTTCATCAAAGTTTGACAAACTTGAAAACATACAATAAATCACTGTCAGTTACCTCATGTAGTACAATACTGTTGTACTCAAGGTTACTTCCATCATCCCTCCATTAGCCATGGAGAAGAATAAGCAAGGTCTCCATTTCGACCATCTCCCATACAAAACACTAACAGTGCGAATAAACTTTCACCCATGTATTTCGTTTTCCGTATAAATATCTGCTACTTTTCTGAACCTGGTACATTACTCCTAAACCATCTAACAAAGCAAAGTTTCATTTTTACCTAGTGCACCGTGCAAGTGAACATACGACATGCGCTATTTTACCGTGGTAAGGATTTTGTGATACAAATTTTCGCGTTAGGACTGTTCTATTTGTTTGTGAAAAGTGATATTTTTTGTTAATTATGGAAAAAGTACACTGAAAGAAATTTATGTTTCATATATGGACTACCACATACATTGCTAAAACAAACATATAATATATTTACCTTAACCATTTTTATATTTAGTTTTAACATATTATGTTAAAACTAAATATAATATATGTTTGTTTTAGCAATGTATGTGGTAGTCCATATATGAACCACAAACATTGCTAAAACAAACATATATTTCTTTCAGTGTACAATATTTTAAATGTTCATAAATTTGGTTTTACCGAAATATTATGTCAACAAACAGTTTATAAAACCTTTGTTTCAACAATATTTAATTAAAATTTTATTAAATCAATTAAGAAAAATTATAAAAGTAATTATAAAATTTTTAAAATATAAATAATTTAACAAAATATTTTATTAGTTCTAAAATTATTAACTCATTATAACTTTCATAAAACGCAATGAAAATTATTTCCATAATTACTAATCAAAAAATGCAAATAAAAATAATAGTATGATTATTAACCTAAATAATATCAAATTATTATATTACAGTATTTATCAAGTTTATTTTATATGGAAACATTAATTGTTAATTTATATATATGCTAATTTTAACCCTCATTTGTTTGTAAATATTTTCTAAAAAAATATCACAATTAATTTTAAAAACTTTTAACTTTGACATTTTTTTTAAATAGTACATTATAGATTGGGCAGAGAAAGCTCATGTTATAGCAGAGCATACATATTTTTGTAAAGAGGTAATATGACATTACCTACAGACTTATAACTGTTATAATATAAAAAATTTAGTACATTCGAAAAAATATTAATATTATTAGCCTTAACCATCCCTTAGGAATAATTTATTATTGTATTAATACAATATTAACTTTATTTTTCTATAATACAATAATGAGATATATGAGCGCAGACAATAAACCTGCGTGCGATATATCTCTCAAGAGTATATTGAGTATATATAGTTAACCGTGTACCTGGGATTATCAATACTCTATAATGCATTCAATGTATGGAACATTTCAATTGGAAATATGAACAAATAAAGAAATTTAACAACCAAATTTGCAACAAAATCGATACAAATTCATTTTTTTAAACCCAATTTCATGTAAATTATCTCCACCTATGATGTCTTTGGAGAAAGCGTCTGTCATTTACAGACTGTCATTCATATTAAGTTAATGTTTTTGGTGTTTGTTAAAACATAAAATAAAGATATATGTTATTCGGAGGAAGTCTTTTTGTGCTCAGCATATAAAGGCTCACTTCTTCTCCCAACGACAAATGATAAATGTAATATTTTTTTTTGCAAAAATTTGTAATATAAACTTTTTCCACGTGGTCTATAATGTAATATTTTCTACTCCTGTTACATAATATTAACATTATTTGTGTTTTTCCCTTTACAATGGTTACCATTATAACCACCCCGCCTAACAACGGGAATAATGATATTCAATGTAATTTGAAACAATAGGGTTTTCATCTTGAAAAAGGACAACTTCGGTGATATGGTAAACAAATATTAGAAATATTTTCCAAAACCAAAACAAAACACAAAGTGCTTAAAGTACTTTTTGCCAACGATGATGGCATCGTCAGAAGCGAAGTGTAACAGTTACACTTCGCTTCTGAATATGCCAACATCGTTGACAAAAAATACTTTAAGCACTTTGTGTTTTGTTTTGGTGTTGGGGAATATTTCTAATATTTGTTTAATAGGGTTTTCGTTGAAACTTTCTAACATATATCAGATTTTTTATATACGATAGGGGCCATTTAAATCGGAAGAAAGTTAGGTTAATAAATGTTTTTTATTAATTAATATTACTAAATTGGAGTAAAAAAATATAATATTACACTCAAGATAATGCATATTATTCATTTGGATGATTTACGTCTCGAGCCGTCAGGCAAACCTCATTCACGTAAATAATAGCCTGTATTATTTCCTGTTTAACCTCTTATGTTACTGAATGGGTACCCCGGTATCCATTCAGCTTTTAGATATGAATATATTTTTTGTTTAAAATCGAGGGGGTTAGCGATTTCGTGACATTTCTAAACTAGGTATTTTCTACATAATAATATAATTTAAAATACATTTGTACGCTTTTTTTTAAATAAATAATGTTCAAAGTTTTTTCACGCACCAATGACGGTTTGGGTAGCCAGGTACCCTTCAGTTTAAAATGCCAAATGATATATTTTATAGCTAAACTGAAAACGCAATGTATATCTACATCTATATATTTGTATAAAAAGTAATAAAAAATAATACCCGCTCTTGTTTATTCAACGGTGTAAAGTAATAACTAAACTGTCAAAACTAGTCGCTGAGTTTTTGCCGTTCAAATACGTAGGTATATCGCACAAGTTAATAGCTTACTTATTCAAATAGGTAGGTATATCGCACAAGTTTATAGCTTACTTATTTTTTACTTATAAATACATTCATAAAAAAACATAAAAAAATATATTTTCCGTTTAATATCCAAATTAATATAATCTGAGTTCCCACCCCGTCACAGGAAGGTGTTTTTTTTTCTCAGTTAAATAAGGGTTAATAAGTTATTAATAATAACAAACTATTATATAAATTTTGCTCTACATACAGTTTTCCATTAATTGAAAAAAAAATGCACAAAATTAAGTTGTTTATTTTTTTAAAACATTGGTTTCTTTAGGCATTGTTCATACGTTTTATTTTATTCATTATACATTTTTAGTATTAAAATGTATTCAACATTTCTGACCGTATTTATGTTAGTGTCTATTGTACAGTATAATACTGAAGCATAAATTTAACAGGTAATCTTTAATTCGAGTATATTACTTATTATGGCAATTAAAATATATATTAATTTGTCAGTTAGGTATTTAAATTGGTACTAAAAAGATTTCGTAACATATGAATGCATTTGTTGCAATTTTTATTACTTAAGCTGGATTACTGGATATAAATTTGGTTGATTTATTTTAAACCTATTTCATCTTTATTAATATATTCATTTTATTTTATAATTTCTTTCAGAGTACCGCACTTGCACTATGTTGCCTGTACACCTTGGCTAATGGTAAAGCACTCACAAAGCGTGAAGGTAAATTTAAATGTTTTACTTATCGATATAAATGAAACTTTTCAACGTCATTAAAAATAATTTCTTTTTTCGTTTTACTTGTCTAATTTTCCTTTTATGCAAGCTCACGTAGGTACTTTTACATAATTGCTTCTTGTTTTAACGCTCTATAAAAACTTACATCATATAAGAAATTACTGGCATACTTTGTAATTTGTATTGTTTATTTTTAGCTCCTCTGTCAAACAGCTACTTGCCGCCTTCATCAGGTGGTGGTGGATTCGGAGGTGGTTCCGGATTTGGCGGTGTTTCCGGTTCCGGCTTCGGTGGTGGTACTGGAGGCGGATTCTCTAGCGTAGGTGGTGGATTTGGCGGATCCTCCCCTTCAAGCTCCTATGGTGCCCCAGCTCAATCTCAGTCTTATGGAGCCCCATCTGCTCCATCCAGCAGCTATGGAGGTCCATCTGCACCATCCAGCAGCTACGGTGCTCCATCCTCAGGTGGTGGACATTCTAGCTTTGGTGGTTCTAGCTCTTTTGGTTCTTCAGGTCATTCCAGCTCATTTGGAGGCAGTTCTAGCAGTTTTGGTAGTTCCGGATTTGGAGGTGGGTACTCCAGCTCTCGTCCTTCCCAATCTTATGGCGCCCCTGCTCAAGCTCCATCTTCCTCTTACGGAGCTCCATCTTCTGGTGGATACTCTTCTAGAGGACACTCATCAGGAGGACCAAGCTCCAACTACTTGCCACCCTCTACCAGCTACGGCACCCCAGTAGGCCCATCCCGCCCTTCCTCTTCCTATGGAGCCCCATCTAAACCCAGCAACTCTTACGGTCCACCACCAAGCCGCCCATCTAGCTCATTCAGACCATCTAAACCTTCCAACTCATATGGACCCCCACCATCAAAACCATCTAACTCCTACGGACCACCACCAAGCCGCCCATCCAACTCATACGGACCACCACCAAGCCGCCCATCCAACTCATACGGACCACCACCAAGTCGCCCATCCAACTCATACGGACCACCACCATCCAAACCATCTAGCTCATACGGCGCACCCCCATCTTCCTCCTACGGAGCACCATCAAGCTCTGGAGGATTCGGAGGCGGACATAGTTCAGGAGGATTCGGTGGCGGACATAGCTCAGGAGGTTTTGGAGGCGGACATAGCTCAGGAGGATTCGGAGGTGGACAACCCTCATCTAGCTATGGAGCACCTGCACCAAGTTACAGTGCCCCATCTCAAAGCTACGGAGCACCCGCTCAAGCACCTTCATCTAACTATGGCGCACCAGCTCAGGCTCCATCCTCTAGCTACGGTGCTCCCGCTCCATCTCAAAGCTATGGAGCCCCATCTCAGGCCCCATCCTCAAGCTATGGAGCCCCATCTCAGGCCCCATCATCAAGCTATGGTGCTCCAGCGCCATCCCAAAGCTATGGAGCTCCTTCTTCAGGAGTTCAGAGCTATGCCAGTAACGGAGGATACTCTTATTAAAATGACTAAATGAAATGAATGAAAGTTGTATATATTAGATTATTTATTTATTAGTACTCCTGCAGTATTATGTACTTATTTTAACAATAACTTTTATCACCCAATAAACAGAGCTATTTTGATAATATTGTTTACTTTTGTTTATTATTATATGGGGTAAAATTAAAAGGAAACAGAAAAATAAGAAACATAACTTGATTTTTATATATATATCCTTTATTTTCTCAACAATAAACTAAATCATCTAATATTTATACATTGATATTACCATAATTTACATCAAAGACTATTTTTTAGATAATGTAACAGTCTATTATTTAATTCAGTATACACAATACCAAATATATTTTTTATTTTTTATATACTTTATATTACAGCAACAACAGTGGTCATAACATTTGTCTACATTTTTTATATTGGATTCTCTACACGTGATATAAACCAACTAATAATTATGCTGGTTGATCACAGTTTTGAAATAACAAAGATAATAGTAATTACATAGTTGGTTTTTTAAACAATACTTGTTGACTTACTTAGCCATAAAAAGAATAATTGTATTAAATAATTTAAAAATGTCAAAAGAGATTCTTATCTAAATGGAATATTCAATAAAAACGTTAGTAAAGTGTTGGAAACCAATTAATAGATTTCTCACAGTGTTTTTTGACCTTAAAAGTTTATTTTCATTGGTTACAAGTACATTATAGATTCACAACGCAAGAAAGGCTTTCTATCGTCTTTGTTATGCCATCTTTACTTTCTGTAATTGATAATAAACCTATAGTGAAAGTAGAATTATTCTGTACTGTGACCAACCAGAAGTAATAATAAATTAATAAATAAGTAAATAAACTAATCTGCAATAACTGCCTGACAGTTTACAATACAGATGATGATATGTTTTCTGATATGTATAGAATATTTAGTCTTTTATCCTCTGAGTTGCCCTTTAATAAATAAATGTTAACTTGAAGTAGTCTAATTATTGTTTCACCACACCAATACATTAATAATAATTTAGAAAGATGTAGGTACGATAAACATTTAACTTCAAAAAGGAAAATGATATATTTAATACTGGTTAATAGGTCAAATAAATTAGAGGTAAGTAAGTGTAGTTATCTGATTTATTTGTCAAAAAATTAGAAATCTTAGGTACATTAGGAATACTTAAATGATATTTTTAAAAGCTATCAACAATGATATGTTTTTATGATATGCATTCTTTCTAGGATCAATTCCTTACTTATATTTCTGGGAAGATTTCGATGTTTTGTATTTAAAATTTGTTTAAATTAAGGAACTAGTATATAAAAGCTGACAAGTGCACTTATATTTTAACGTGCCTGTAGCATATTTTGGGGCAATTAAACTATTTTAAAATAATCTATTGATAAAAATCAATAAAAGTTTAATCATTCTCAATCAGGAATATTGTGCGTACTTAGGCAATTAGTTTATAATAAAATATGCCAAAATAATTATCTTTATAAAAACATTTACGTGTTTTAAGTATCAACATAATTATTTTTAATAAAATAAATATTAAACTTAACATTTACATATGACCCAGAACAATCAAATAACCGACCAGCAGTTATATATCATCTAAATACCACTTTATTTTTCTATATAGCACCTAACTATCTTTTAAAAATTAACATACGTTACATAGTCATAAAATGATATAGTTTACTTTTAATGTATAGGCTTTAATATAAAGTAAGTCATACTTTAGGGTATTGCACACAAATTATTTAACTCTTTTATCCTTATTTACCTTACAGTGTTGTCTGGGAGTTATCTACGGGGTTAGTAACATTTCTACTGCCGCCTCCACTGCTTACCGAACTCCTTAACTTCTCCACCTCCGAAGAAGGTATGTCGTCATCGGCTTCTAGTGCAGGATTAATTCTCCCATTTCTTTCATCTTTACCCACCAGGGTAGCGGCCCCGTAGAGTTTTCCCATTGCACCCGATGCCATCACAGCCATCTGCTCGCCCTCCTCGGCAGGTTCTCCAACCCTCTGAATATCTTCCGGGATGTTTACCACGCAGTTGAAGAAGTCGTAGCCAGGTGCGAGCCTTCCGGTCTCAAAGAGCCACTTGGAGTACCAAGAAACTCCTATTAGAGTAACCAAAGAACACAACATGGCCATAGTTCTGAAGGGGAATAGTTGACGATGATTAACTTCATCATACCCTGGATATTTTATTAAAGGAGGCAGGTGCATTAGTTCCTCTCCCCCAGATACTCTAACCAAAAAGGCTATAATGTACGCCGCCAAACTTCCATAGGTATTGCAGTAATCTTTGAAATGGACCACCATAAGCAACTGAGGGAATAATATTACGTATACTAAGTCTGAACACATTGACCTACAAAACAAATATTACATTAATTTGTCTATTAAGCCTAAAAATATTTAAATTTACCATAACCCATATATAGATGGTATAGTCAACGCCATTATAGTGGCCAAAACGCCCACAATCAATATAGATACCCTCATAACCCAAATAATCTCCATCTCAGACGCCTTTTGTCTAAATATGAGCTTATAAACATTTCTAGCAAACATAGAGCTGGCACTAAGAACGCTTGAATCTGCTGACGACATTACTGCAGCAGATACCGCCCCGAGACCGAAAAATGAAACGAAATCCGGAGTTAAATATTGTAGAACCATTGGCAAGATCATGCTAGTCTCATCTGCGCTTAATGGATATGGACCAGTGTATCCTGTCTCATTCCAAGCTAAAATAAATTTGGTTATTTAGTTAATTTGGTTTATGACATTAAGGATGACCTATAAAAATTTATAAAATTCAATAGGTAATTACTAATTACTAAGGGTTATATGCATTTGCATATTGCATATGAATTTCCATGTAAAAGCCATTTTTACCCAAAATCTACAGATGTGATATATTTTTGCTATAATTACAATATACCTAGTTAGTGAACAGCACATTACAAAGCCGTGCCGATCGGCCTGCAATTCCTTTTGGCAAACAGGCGGTCCACAAAGGAAAGGTATTGTATTTCACTTTCGCAGCACTGCTCCATAGGAGATTAAACTAGGTATGAATGTTTTTTTAAATTTATTTATGTGTATCTTCGCTGACTATCCTGGAACATTTAAATTCGACGAAAATGTTTTAGAGGGGCGCAAACCTTAAGGGGGTGCACTCACAGACCCGCAGTGCCTAGCATATTTTTTTACGCAATATTCACTGCTAATTTACGATAAACGAAAATATTGCTAAAGCCTAAATATTTATAAAACCTAAATTACACATTAAAGTCATTGTATTGTTTCTCTTTCCAGAAAACAAGTTGCAGACGAGAGTGTGTTGCGATATAATTAAGTATTTCTGTTGCCCGACTTAAAAAAATCGATTTTTATATATACAAAAGTTCACTAAAAAAATAAAAGTACTAAAAAAACACGTTTCCCATTTTAGACAAGGTACTTTTTTTGTTTAATCAAAAAAGGCAAAATAGGTAAAAGTTGGTGGTAAAAGTAATGAGCAATGCAAAGTGAAAGCATTTTACAAAACATGGACATTAATTAATGTATTAATTTTGTCTGCTAACCATTTATAAAAATAGAAAATTAAAAATATTCTATAAAAAAGTTTAGAAATAACTTTTGTTGGACAATTGTCCAGAAGATTTAACCCTTTTATAAAAATCATCATTAACATACAGACAACTTTTTCATTTTATTTTATTATTTGGAATAAAATTTTGTATAAAAAATTAACTAATTTTTTAATTTAAATTTATAATCATTTTTTACATTATATTTTTATTCGATTTCAAAAGAATAATAATTGCTGAATTTAAATTAAAAGGAAATCTTGTATGTTTTTTATACATAATAATTAAACGCGGTTATCTGTTATTATTTATTAAAAACTATAATCTAAGTAATAGGAAATTGAAATTAAAATTTAATAATATATTCTTATTAAATAAAAATCATCATTAATAAATTGTTAAACTTGATTTCCTATAATTTTAATATTGTCTAAGAACATATTTACCTGTTCCCTTGGCAATAGCTCCAATAAGTACTGGAGGAATGGCCATCAATACGCAGCCCATGGCAGCTACATAGCTAAGTACTTGAGCTCTCCCTGCTGATTTACTGGAGAGAACTCTCTGAAAATATACCTGCCATGGAATACCGCCGAATACCAGCAAAAGACCGTAATCCATGTAAAACCAAATTTCATCGGATTTAACTTCTCCAATCCAATCTACCTCCATAGATGACAAAGATGTTACATGTTCGTTCATCCAGGCAAATGGTATGCACATCCACAATCCGATGAATATACAGAAAAGCTGAATAACGTCTGTATAAGCCACAGCGTACAATCCTCCAAAAAGAGTGTAGAAAACGGCTATACAAGCACTAAATATAACACTCGTTCTGTGATCCATATCAATTATAACGCTCAAAGTAGCGCCCAAGGCAGCCAATATACCAGCTGCCCAGAAGACCTCTCCGCAGAGGGCTGGAAGGAAAAGTAAACCTCCCATTCTTTCTCCAAAATTGTCTTGGAGGGGATCTAACATAGTAATGTAACCTTGTCGTCTCATTTGGTTTGCAAAAAAGATTCCTCCAAAAGCTAAACTTAAGGAATATCCAAAAGGCGCTTGGCACCATACCAAGCCCGATGTGTAGATGGCCTCTGCCGTGCCATTGATGTAACCACCGCCTACCCATGTTGCTACACGAAAAAATAGAATTACAATAAAACTAAATATGTGACATTGATAAGAAAATTACCCTAACGACCAAAAAATTGATTGTGTGCTTAACTTAATTGATTCTAAGACAACGAGATAAGCCCGATCGATTGAGACAGTGACAGTATAATCTAAAAATTAAATTATGTTTTAAAGCTTTAAGTTATAAATCGTATTTGTGTCTGGTCATCTTAGGTCGCCCTTAATTATTAAGGTGACCAACTGTGTAAAGGGGAAAACCAGAACAGCGGTGGCCTGTACGAAATTTTTTTTAGAAAAAAGGTGTTGCCCTATTTTTGCCTGTTTTTTGTGCAACTACCTGTGTTAAGTTAATAATATTTACTCTCAGTTGAGTTAAAAAAACACAAAATTCATAATGGTTATTCACCCCACTAATAATTTTTCTTAGAATGTTTTAGTTTATTTCACCCGACCAAAAACATGTTAAAAATTTTTCAAATTCCCAAATTTTTTTGTATTTTTTTCTGAATTCAAAACCAAAAAAACGCCCCATTTAGTCAAATTTTGACAAAGTTATGTGTATTTTAAAAGAAAATTGGCAATTTTTTTGAAAATTCGTAACTTTTTTTTGGTTGGGTAAATATATTGGAAAAATTCTGAGAAACTTTTTTAGTGCCCAGGGTAGAAAAAAATATAAAAAGTTCAGTCAAATCGAAAGAAGTTGGGTCAAAAGTGGTCGATTTGGCGTGGAATTCCCCATATATATATTTATAAATTAACTATTATGAAATTTGTGTTTTTAGCCTAGTTATTTTTACATATTAAGTATACCTATAAATTAATATGGATTTATAAAAATTGGAAGTTTATTTTATATGGTAAGCTAAATCAGAACAGACCAGAACCAAAATAGGAAAATCAGAACCTTTACTACCTTCGATTTCCAGTCAGAATGAAGATCTCAAAAACAGTATGTTCGTAGTTCTGATTAAATCAGAACAGTTGGTCACCTTACCTTAATAGCGTCCCTTTGCTTTGCTTAAACGCCTCCGAATACACACATATTATAGCTGAAAAGTGTAGTGGTCGGCATATTTTATGTCGTTGCTTTTCGACCCCTTTAATTAAAATCGCTTCTTGGTCATTAGGGCTACTTTCCAGATGATATATTTGTAATTATCATTTTACCTGTCATTGTGAATATGCCTACAAATAACCCAATGTTGCGTCCTGCCAACATGACCTCTTCTTCGGAGTCATTGCCAGCTTCTTTTTTCTTACCAGCCCAAATACCAACGGCAAGGATAAGGACGTAAAATATAACTATAGACAATACTCCTGCTATGTTAATCATTTTTGATGATCTGAAATTAATAAGTATTTTAATTGAAAAAATATCAAAAAATTCTTTTAAATAAGGATATATCCTTATTAAGAAGAATTTGGGAAAAAATAAAAGCAATAATATAAAAACCCATTATTAACCTAAGAATAAATTAACAATGTATTGTTAATTTATTCTGAGGTTAACGATTTTTATATTATTCATATTATTTTTTTCCCATTTTTGCCTTTACAGGATATAAACATATTTAATTTTGTATGAAACATAACCTTCACTACTATAAAAAGAAATATCCTAGTATTTATTTATAAATATTATAATAGTTGGATCCTTAGTAATTAAATAAAGTGTTTATTGCACACACAAAACATAAATGGATATTGCTAACCTAAATGTATCTAAATTGTAAAAGGATGTAAATATGATAAATTTATTTTTTAATTCATTTAACAAAGCCATTTATAATTCTGAAGAAACCATCCTATTGGTAATGATAAACTAAGTTTATTTACACAATGCAAAATTCAAATTTAGTTTAAAATAGATACAGATTGTTTAAATTAGATTATCACAGTATTTATTTATTTATGCACTGAATAAAAAGTAGGTACTTTCACATTTTATAGAGTTTTGTACTTTTCCCGCTCTTAATATAAATATAATATAAATAAAATGTAATTTGAGGTGATTGATCATTAATTAAAATGTTTTAATATTAACCCTTGGTGTAATATACCATTGGTGGGAGTCACGCAAATAATTAACCTTGACATGTTAAGAAATAGTTCAAAATTACTTCCAATATGAATGAAAAAAATAGTTTTATTTGAACTAATTATTGACGCAAATTCGATTGTTTGTACTTTAGAAGTATTTGTTAACTTTTCCTAATGCAAAATATATGTAAGTACATATTAAGGAAATTAAAGTAAAAATAGTTACGGATTAAATAAAAGTTAAAATAAAAAAGTGGTTATTTTAATGATTACTAATTGACTATTCTTATAATATTATTATAACCAGTATGTAAAATATAAAATATTCCTATGCTAGTTACATATAAGCTCAACTAAAAATAGTTTAATCAAAAGTATTAACCATTTTATATGCCTTAATTACTAAATATTATTTAGTAAATAATGATGTATTATGATGTATTACATTAATAAATTATGAATTTATTGGATACCCTCCATCTTATATAACTAAAGGTAACTCCATTGTTTCCAAGTTTATTACAATATTTCTTTAAGTGGTTTGTGAAGAGACCATATATGGATCATTTTATAAAAATGCTAATATAATATAGGTAATATTATAGTAATTTAAAACACTAATACCTTTATTTAAAATACTTGGAAAAAATATTCGTTTTATATAGAATTTATTAAATTATTCTGTAGTTTCAGCTAATATGAAACCATTTGTATGACTTATATTAGATTATAAGATCAATAATTCGATTAAATGTTATTATATGCAGGAATTTTATTTTAGTAGGGGATTTACCTGTAATGTACTAGATGAAATGTAGAAGGAATAATTAACTAGATTGAAGCACTTATTTTTTACAGGTAAATGTACAAAAATCTTTTCTTTAACAAAATATATTGTACCTATATGTTTGACCACTTTATCAACAGTACCTAATTAACAAATAAACTACTTAATTAAGAAGCGAATTTTTGGCTGGCCAAGATACAGCAATCGCCCCAGCGAAGGGACGTTTTTTGTGAGGGGCTGTTCCTGGTCCTAAACGCTAGCCCGCACATGGGCGATCTTTGAAATCATCAATCCCACAACACAGAGACCAGACGGCATATAAGTTTGGCGGCGGCACGGCATAGACTGTGCTCCTCTGCCGCTCCATATTGATCCCGGGCTGTGACGTCATGGGGGAACATCCTCGCCATTGGACGCCGTCTCCGAGAGCCGTCCCCACTATCCCCGCGCGAACGCCCCCCAAGAGGCGGCGCCTTTGGGGGTGAGCCGCCACCCACGCGCCCAAGGTCGACTTGAAGGACGGACGAACATCAATTTTTTATGCTTTTCAGGCTTTCCTGTTTACTTTTCAATGGTGAAGTTTCAGTTTTATAACTGGTCCTGCTGGCCCATTCGATGTAAACGTTATTACATGTTTTATATTTTAAATTTTAAACACCAGAAATAATATAATATAATAACTACGCAGTTTTGTTAGTGCAATAATTCTGAAATCTGAGCAAATATAAGTGTATCGTTTATAGTCAGCCTACATGCTAAAATTAAACGCAGGTAAGGGAGAGTGGGGAGACATTGGACAATTTTTAAATTTTTTTGCCTGGGTCTCTTAAAAATATAATTATTTATAATTTCAAAGTTTCAGGTAATAGTGCTGACTTCTGAAAACGCAAAGAGATAAATATGTGCACTTTAAACCGTAAGATGGGTTTGCTAGGAATTTTTGAAAATTTTCGGTCATCTGTCCAAATTCACCCCACATACGGGGAGATTATGGACAGCATTTGGACACTATAAAAATATTATAAATTTTGGAATTTTATTGCCCCGGGCCCCCGGTCCAGAAGAGCCCCCAAATCTTAAGTAGTCTTTTTCAGTCCAACAAAAAACTATTTAAAATTTAGGATTTTAAAATTTCCGGAAAAATTGAGCCGGCGAAAAAAAACGTTTTTTTTCTGAAAAAAAATTGGGAAATTTTCAGAAAAATTGACTTGCATTTTTCTCATTATTCTAAGAGTAATACGAAAAAATGCAAAAGTAAAATTTTTCTAAAAATTTACGAATTTTACAGATACGTATGTAGGTAGGTACTAACCGATATCTGATATCGAGAAAAAAGTGAATTTCCGACGCTGAATATAATCATAATATCATTTTCTTTAATCAATTTAATTTAATTCAATGTTTAGTTTTATATTTTTTAAATTAAATTAATGTTAAGTTGTTGATTGCTATTTTTTTCAAATGTACCTATTTATTCATAAATTTAATTTTTCCCAAAAAAGAATTTTTTTAAGGCCTGTTTTTTTTCCCAATTTTTTTCGGGTTTTTTTTTTTCGACACTTTAAAACCCTAGTATAGGTATAAATATTTCAGGAACCAGCTTTACCATAAAATATAAACTGATTAAAAAAATACCCCGGAGATTTTAAGTTTCTAAAGAATAACAAGCTATGAAAAAAAAAACAAAATATAAAGTCAAAACTAAAAGATTTTTAATATTTTGATCTCGGGAGCTCCTAGCTGCAATCCATCAGGAATTAGAAAAAAAGTTATAATTACATTAAGTAATGGTTAATCTTAGACTGCAATGAGTGGGCCCCTTGATTTTTAAAATTTAAATTATTAACAAGTTCAAATATAAGTATACTTATAGTTCGCTGGAAAAAGCATGTAATCAATTTTCATATCCCTGATTACATTAAGAGTTGCACAGGACTTGCTAAGAGGATCTACTAAAAAATTTAAAATAACAAAACATTAATATTTACAAAACAATCACATTATTTCATAAGCAGACTAGGGGCCCTATTTTATTTTACCGCCCCGGGCCCCCGCCACTGCCCCCCATATTCTGGGACACCCTGTATAATACGCACATTGGAACACCTAAGGGTAGTACTCGGGTGCCTTGTTATTTATATTTTTATCAATGATCTCCCCAAATACCGTAAACACGGGTGACTTTGCATCCCGCGGGTGACTCTAACCCATTTATGAACCCATTTATGAAAAATCTTTTCGCGCTCAATAAAATTAACATTTATAATTTGTTGGTCTAAACCTGTCAATTGAGCGATTCTTAATTTGTTGGTCTAAACCTGTCAATTGAGCGATTCTATTTATATTACAGAAAAATCAGTGTTTTAAAAATAGAAATGGGATTTATTACACTTTAAAATTGTATATATCGCATCAGTGCAAAACTCTTACAATTTCTATATTATGCGCAATCCATTGGAATGATGATCCTTGGTTAACTACAGGTCGATTTTTTATTTTTTTTATCGGTAATCCCTTGCAATGGATATATCATATATCCATTGCAAGGGATTACCGATAAAAAAAATAAAAATAAAAAATCGAGGGACATATATCATATATGTCCCTGCTAACACGTGTCTAAAAAAAATAAAATATAATATTGAATTCATTTTATACGGAAAATACACTTTGCACACCCAGTTTTTAATTTTTATTTTTGAAACTCAGGCCTATGTAATATTATAACATAGTTATTATGAAAGAGCAACTTAAAACTCAAATTTTGGTATACAAAATTTAATGTTTATGATTGTTAAAACCACAAAAATTGTAAGCTTAAGTTTGAAAGTGAGCTAAAGCCACTCGTGTTTACGGTACATCAGTGGACAAATTAAATATTTTAGCTCTTCTTAATGTGTATTCTGAAAATATTTATACCATTTTGAATTTTAATATTTTACCCTGGGGTCTTGCTAGAAATTTGGGTATACCCATATCTCAGTTATTAGACATGGGACCCACACCAAAATTATATGAGTTTATAATGACATTAAATAGACAAGATCTGCGCAAGCAGAATTTAAATTAAAGTTTGCGAAAAAAAATTTTTTTCTCAGCTAGTTTCCCGCACCCCCTGCCCCCCCCTAATTAAAATAATTCAAATTAAAGTGGTGCAATTTTTTATTTACTATAGTTTATCGACAAATTTCAAATTTTATAAAAAAAATCCTGGTATTGGAGATTTTATACCATTTATAAAGGTATAAAACCTGTTATACTTGGATTTTTTAAATAATTTTTGAAATTTGTCGATAAACTATAGTAAATTAAAAATTGCACCACTTTAATTTGAATTATTTTAATTGGGGGGCAGGGGGTATCGGAAACTAGCTGAGTAACAAACTTTTTTCCGCAAACTTTCATTTAAATTCTGCTTGTGCAGATCTTGTCTATTTAATGTTATTATAAACTCATATAATTTTGGTGTGGGTCCCATGTCTAATAACTGAGATATGGGTATACCCAAAATTCACCAGCCGCCACTGCATTAATGCCTAATTAGGGTTATTTTCGGAAAAACTTTTATGTAATTTTATGTTATTTTAATTTTATATACAAAATTCTTTGTCTGGTAATAACAAAAACAAAATAATAATAATAATAATAACAAAATAGAACTATTGAATAAAAATAATTGTCCATACAACACCAGATCTAAGGATAAAATCCCCATTAAAATGCATTGGCATGAAAAGTATGAAAAGTCTTCTTACTTCGTGGGTATTTGTCTCTATAAAAATTTGCCAAATGGTCTAAGAGAAAAACCCTTTAAAGAATTTAAAAAAATCATGAAATCTTTTTTGCAGTCTGCATGCTGTTACATCATAGAAGAATTTGAGGAAATGATTTTTTATTGTTTTTTTAGAAACATGTCATGTTTATGTTTAGAATACATTTAATTTATCCTTTTGTCCTGTCCTATTTACCATTTTCTGTTCTAATTCTGTGATTAATAAATTATTATTATTATTGTTATGACTAGTGATGCGACGGGCGAATATTACGAAGCGAATATTCCCATAAATTCCGTAACTTACGGTAATATTCGCTCACCCTCAAAGGAATATTCGCTTTTGGGTAACATATCACGGTAATATTACCGAGAACATTCCCGGTAATATTACCCAATAAATTCGCTATCGCGTTAATCGCGTGTACTTCCCCGGCGGACGGCGTGTGATTCCCGGCGGACGGCGTACTTCCCTGGCATGCCAGGGAAGTACGCCGTCCGCGTGCACACTTCTTGTGCTGCATTATTCCTTGTTTTCGGCCACCAGTCATTAAGAAACTTTTGCTTCTGCACGTTAATGCGACGCGATTGTGTTGTGTTGTGGTTTGTGATTAACCGAAGTTCCAAGTGCTAAATATGCCGAAATATAAAGGACCAATATGGGATTACTTCAAAGAAAACTCAATAAATGGGAAATATTATTATGTTTTTTATTTTGTTTTCGTTTGGACGGTTACTTTTTAAAATATATTATTATTTTTTCTGTTCTCTGTCTTTTGAACTGTCATTAAAATATTTTATTTTTATCTGTTCCAGTTTTATTTTTCGGGTACGTACTTTAGAAAATATGATTTTGTTTAAAATTATACGTCGTATGACATATTGTTAACAATATGTATAATTATATATGTATATATGTATACAATAAATTAATACAAAGTTATTCATTCTGGGCTCAATTTTAAAGCTAAATTATTGAAATTTTGTTTAATAGTATATTTTTAAACAAGGATAATAAATTACCTACCTAATGCAGTTTACCGCTAAAAAAATAGCAAAATTTCCTAAAATTCTTATAAATTACGGTAAGTTCTCGTAATTTACCGAATATAACCGACCAAAAATAAATTACGGTAATTTTTACATCACTAGTTATGACAACAAACAACAATATTAAAGTGTCAACTTCGTTACTTGGAGGTTATTTATTTTACATCAAACTTGACAGTCCCTGTCAGGAACAAATAAAACCATAGATTAAATTTATGAATAAAAATAGTAAAGGGGCTATGCGGGTTCTATGTTAAATCCCATAGAAAAATCTTAAGTCCATTCTGTCAATTTTTGTCCATATCAATATTATGCGTATTGGCGCCAAATTTAAAATTTGGTAGTCGCATCGACTGCCAACGTCACACGTTAGTCCTAACGTCATTTTTAGTTTTAAGTAATGTTTTCGAAGGCCCTGTTAAAGGGTGCCCCATGGAGCCCCCTACCCCTACAATCCCCTAACCAACCCTTCCACTTTGATAACCTCTCTTGTTCGATGAACCAGCCACCGAA